TGAAAGAGCAAAGAACGTGACGGATTTTCAGAATCACAAGTCCAAAGCTTGTCAACGTACAATTAGCTCCCAAAATGGCCTTGATCATAGTCTGAGAATGAATATCAACTAAGCCGAGGTCCTGAGCAAACCGAACAACCTTGAGTGCCGCAATAGCCTTTAGGAAATCAACATCAGTAATTAAGCCCCTCTGTTCTGCCGAGGTCCTGAGCAAACCGAACAACCTTGAGTGCCGCAATAGCCTTTAGGAAATCAACATCAGTAATTAAGCCCCTCTGTTCTGATAAGGAAGCCACTATTATAAATAAATATATCTTTAATGATATTTTATTTTAAAGTGAAAAGTTCACAATAAATTTTATCATCTTTTGAAAAATATTTGACATGTCTAATTTATCACATCTAAAAATCACTTCTAATGATGTATCTAGCAATTGTCAACTTTTGATTTATCAAATATTCCATCATATGGGGTCTAACCTCTAAGTATAGGTGGTTTATCAGAAGTTATTCGTTGATCCCACTACAACAGATTGCACAATTGGCGACTAAAATTGGCGACCAAAGCAATTTTAGTCGCCAAAAACAGTATATTGGGCGACCAAAATCCAATTTTAGTCGGCATTCATTTACGGTTTTTAGCTACTAAATTCTTTTAGTCGCCGTATAGCATTATTGGCGACCAAATTTACTTTCAGTCACTGTTGGCAACCATTTTAGGCTACTAAAATTCCATTTAGTCGCCGTATGATTACATTCTCCGACAAAAAAAAATTGTCGCCAAAAATTGGGTGTGTTTTGATGAATGTTTGGCGACCACAACATGATTAGTCGTTGTATAATAAACATTGCCGACGAAAATTTCAATTTAGGGGTTGTTTGGGATGTCCTAAATAAGTGTACTTTTTGTCTTTTTAAACTAAAAAGTTGAGGTTGAAAATATGAATGTTTGGGTTAACTTTTTGACTTTTTATGAAAAAATGTGTAATAAAAAATTGTAAAAATTGGTTTGTAGTAAAAAATTAGAATTGGGAGTTATGCAGCCGTAATTGTTGACTTTTGGTGAATAGTGATAACTTTTTAACTTTTTGAGTAACTTTTTGAATTTTTTGGGACTTCCCAAACTTGGCCTTAGTAGCCAAAATATGGTCTTTTTGGCGACCAAATTTTAGTCGCTGTTCACGACATTTGGCGACAAAAAAATGGTTTAGTCGCTAAAGCTTCGAATTTTTTTTAGAGGGAAACTCATTAATATATTGGCGCCTTATTTTTCTTTTGTTTCACACACACAGAGCACTCGATGCCAAACCTCAGCACCACTGACCACCGCCGATCATCACCATCGCTAGCCACCGGCGCTCGCCACCACAACCACTGATTACAGGTATTTCTCTCTCATCTCTCTCCCTCTCTATCGATCTGTGTCTGTATGTTTGTATCTCCTTCTCGCTGTCTCTCCCATCCCTATGTCTCACGATTTGTGTAGGGTTTTTAAATGTTTGTTTTCTTTCATTTTCTGTTCAATTCGTAATCAATTTTTTAGGGCTTTTTCTGATTTCGTGAATGGGTGGTTGAAATTTCGGATTGTGGATTTCTGATTCTCCATTTTCTATTGTTCACCTATATGACTGAATGTGCCTCTGTTTTCTAGAATATTCCAAACTAACCCTATATATATAATCTAAAAATTTAATCAATTTAGCATTTGATAATCCGAATGTGCCTCTGTTTCCGGGGGGAGATGTGATCTTGGAAACTCTATCAATCTAGCATTTGCCAACGCGATTCAGTTAGGGTTTTAAATGCAAAACAAGGGTTGAAACTCCCAGTTTCAGTTTTGACACTACACAGATTTGGGCTTATATCAGAACACTGGGAAGATGTTGATGGGGAAGCATTTGATGCAGCTGTAGATGTTTGTATTGGTGAAATAAATCCATTAGAAAACGCAGTGAAACAGTCCAAGCGGAACACGGGAAGGGCAGAAGCTACACAAGCAACTGTGGACCAAGTAAAAGTGGAGGGCATTGATACCAATCTAGCTGTAATGAAGGTTCATAAAAATATTTTCTATTTGTTTGGCTTTCTTGTGCCAGAACAATAATTTTTAGTAAGAATTGATTTGTACTTTTTATTTTGATTTTTAAGATCATCTGCATTTAGTTAGATAGGTGTAAAAATTGTATTATTATTATTTTTTATCACAGAAACCATGTTTGGTTCAGTCTTTATGTTTGAAGAAAAGGGAGACTTTTTCCTCATTCTCCTTTAGGTAGATGGCAGCTTTTAAAAATATTGAAGGGTCCCAATCAACTAGACTATGAACACAATGAGGGAAAGTTAAGCAACTATTTTTCCATTTTAGATAAATCTATCTGATATTTTCCCATATATTCTTCACCTTGATGTAGCTGGTCCATTATATATGCATTGTTGGAAAATTGAATGCTGTGATGATTCTCCATTTTGGATTTCCGCTTCTCCATTTCTGTTTTTTTTTTTTTTGGAATTAAATGTTGTGATCAGGTTAGAAAGCTGATATTTAGCCTCTCTGAAATTTGTATCACTTGAAATCCATATTTACTTTAATCGATCTGAGAGTTGGGGTTGTGTTCCCTTTAATTTGCCTTGTTCTTTCTCTCCTTGTGTTATCATTGTAATGTTCATGAAATTAGGAGAAAATGAAGTATCTTTATCTAGAAATGCTTGTACAATATTTTGCCAATTTGTTGGAATCTAAGGGGAAAAGGGATGAATTTAGATACTATCTATTGTAGGTGTCTAGCTGATAATGAAACCATGGAAATGTATGTAAATGATGTGAGTGATGTGTATTACTCATGTCATTTTGTTATTTTTTTATGTAGGTACCATGGTTCCTGGAATGAAGACGGGGCGGCGGAAGACAGCAACAAGTGGTAACCTATTATCAGCCTCCGAAGCATGTTCAGCAGTTATTGGCACCCCGTTGACGTTATTTGATGAGACGCAGCCACCAGATGATACACAAAGAGTGGTGGAGGAAACGCAGCCAGGTGGCGTGGGTAAGAGCATTTCCGTAGTTGTTTACAAATCTTTTTTTTCTTTTTCTTGGGGTGCATAAGTCAGGTCTTGACGGAAATGAAAACCCCATAAATAGAAAGAAAAACAAAGAAAACGTGAATGGCTTGTGAATCTGATTGGTAAGGAATGCCTTTGTTCATCTGTAGTTTAATCTGTTTGTTAATCTTGTTAGTCAATGTGAATGCCTTAATGACCACATAACCTGCATATAGTACCCAACCCTTCAACTCATTTTGTTGTATCTCAAGTTTAACAGAGGCAACACATGTACTCTTCGGTTGGCCTATAGTTGGTTGAGGTGATATTATAGCTTTATTGTGCTTTACATATTTAAAATTAAAATATGTAAATTTTGTTGTACATAAAGTTCATTGATTTAGTTTTTTTTAATCAGCAAAAGAGAAAGAACCTGTATAGGTGGAAAACCATACAATGAGATTACATCAAATAAAGGGAAGGAATTTGGTGAGGAACCAAACTCGAAAGGAAAAAAAAGGAGAACATAACACAGACAAAGTGAACCAAAGCAGAACAGAAAATCTAAACAGACCAAGCATAGCAGACACAGTAGTAGGAAGACCTATTTTTGCAAAAATGAACCTAAGCCAAAAACAATTCAAAATGCATACTTGACCCTTTGCCATCAGCCCAGAATTACACAGCAGATTCAACCATAGCATACTAGCAAACCTTAGCTTAGCAGCACAGAGGCCACTAACAGTCCACCATCAGACCAACAGAGCCAAACAATGTAACAACAGACCACCAGCAGTCCAACAACATAGCATAACACATCATCCCACACTTAACAGCCCACAACTAAGCCTAGCAAATCAGTTAAACAGCTCAGCAAGAACACTTGCAGAACACCATATCAGAACAGCATGCAGAACTTGCAGCCATAACTTGCAGCCAGCTTGCCCACTTGCATATCACATCGATCCAAATTAACAGCCCACTATTAGATTTAGTTGAGTTCTAAACTTAAAAGAAACCAAGGGCTGTACACTTAAATATTAGTTTGATAGTAACTAATTATGTCTTTGCTGTTACAATGCATAAAATGTGTTTCTTTTTTTAAAAAAAAAATGAAGCAACAACTCATACTAGTTGAGTTCATTAACTTTGTTTGTAATTTGTGACTTGCTTCCCCTTTTATGGCAGGGTGAAAAAGGTCGACTCGTATACGAGGACGTACATTAGGCAAAGGAGTGCAGAAAAGAATAGTTAGGAAAAAAGGAGAGAAATTACATGTGTATGTCAATCGTGTGTTGAACGCAATCACAGAAAGGAATGCAACCCCAGCGAAAAATGAGTTGGGATTGCAAATTATATGGTTGTGCCCTCTTCAGAGCATGAAGTCATGGAGAAAAATCGATCAAAGTACCAAAGATGCGGTCATCCAAGCGGTGCTAGTATGAGATTCATCTTGGTTAAATTATTATGTTATTTGTAATTGCTTAAATTAATTGATGAACTAATTCTCTTATTATGTTTGTAGGACAAGTTTGTTATCGGCGATGATTTTGATAATGATGAACAAGCTCAACAAATCCTCGATAGGAAGGCATATTTGCTATACAAGGATTGGAGGTACAATCTAAAGCAAGAGTTCCTCGAACTTGAGGAAAAGGGTGTTGATGACCCCTATAGTCATCCGCCTAGTGGAGTGAGCTTGGACGACTGGAAATATCTTATTGATGTTGCTTGGAAAGACGAATTTCACTTGGTAACAAATTAATTAGAAACCTTATTCTTGAAATTCATTTATGTGAATATAAATAAATATTCTTTACTAATTATTTTTTTTTTTGTAATTTTGTTTTTTGTTTTTTGTTTTTTTTTTTTTCTTGTTAGAAACGCTCTAAAGCTGGTAAAGCAAATAGGGGTATGCTCCCCTACAATCATACAAGTAGATCGTGTTCATTTCCTATAGCAATGTCGCTTATGGTGAGAAGTAGTTATTTGTTTAGTAATGTAATGGATGATTGATTATTCTTCATTTTGAATATTACTATGTACTACTTCATCAATGGTATTTTTTCAAACCTAATAGGCAAATGAGGATGGAGAAATAGATTTCCCTGAATTTTATAAGAAATCACACAAATCCAAAAAGACGGGAGACTAGATTGACCCCAAATGTGGTGAGCTACATGTGAGTATTGAATGTTGAAACTAATTTTGTTGCAGACATATTAGTAAAGTTGTTTTCAATTCCTTCAACCATCTTGACTTTATTGTTTTTTTGCCATGACAGGATGATATGGTGAATCTACAAGTCGTAGCCACCGATGCGGGGTTGCCATTGACCTACGAAGAACTATCAAGGCAAGTGCTCGGGGAAAAAAAAATTACTTGCGTGGATGTGGGGTAGGCCCACAACCCTCTTCAACAGCTTCTAGTGCGGCACGAGCATGTGATAAACATATGGAGTCAATGAGAGCGGAACTGGAGGTTCTTCGTGAGGAGCATCAAAGAGATTGCGAGGAGTTGCTGAAGGAGAAAGAGGAGTGGCAAAAAGATCATGAGGAGTTGGTCAAAGAGAAAGAGGAGCGACAAAGAGATCATGAGGAGTTGGTCAAGGAGAAAGAGGAGCGACAAAGAGATAAGGAGGAAATTATGAGGGAAATAGAGAAGCTGATGAAAGAAATTGAGGAAGGAAAAAAAGCACGTGAGGCACAACAAGTACAACTCAATCATTTGAACGACATGGTGTCACGGCTAACAACCCTCTTGCAGGGTTCAGATGGTCATGCTACTATTCGGTAAACATAATTTTATTGATAAGCTAATACAAGTTCTACAAAAATATGGATCATATTGGCATATAATTGTTTTCTAAAGTTGCTATGCAAATTTTTTTTTGTTATGTGCTTGGAACAGGTTATGAGGCATAATATGAGTAGACTTTGCAGCAGACGGACCATAATCTGATTTTCATAAGGTAACCACTGCTTCCAAAATTGCTTCCAAAATTGTCAAATTAATCAAATACATAAATGCATTAAAAAAATTAAAAGGACACATGCAAATCAAATAATTTGTATTGAACATACTGAACCATTCCAAAGTGGCTCACATTTGGAAGGCATTTAGTACCTCAGAAACAGCTCTCGAAAAACTCCCTTCTGTCTGGATCAACTTGAGTTTTCCTACAGTAATGTATGGGTCAACAGTAGGTATAACCTCAGGATATTGAACTGCAGGAATAGAATACTTCTTCTCTGGCTGAGACATCAAGGCAGACAAGTGTACAATCCAAAAGTAAACCCAGCACAAACCAAGAATTGTTAATTTAATGTCAAACAAATCAATCTTATCAAGAACATGTGTATAAAATTTCAAATGTGCGTATAAGGATCCAAGTAAGTTTTGACAAAATTATTAATAAATAATGATATTAATAATAGATAAAAATATTAATAATAGATAAAGGTCAAAAGGTTTATAAGGTGGGACGTTATTAGCATGCGTACGTTGGGGGTTGTCGTGACAAACGCATATATAAGCTTATAAATATATATTAAAGCTTATATATTACAGCATATAAATATATATGTTATATAAGCATCTCTATATATTTAGTTTCATGAATAAAATATATATGTGTACACTTTAGACTAAAGTTGACTTGGGGCTCATGCATGACTTGGAGGCAAATTTGCCTTAAATTGTGTGGATACCAATACAGATAAATGGAGGGGCAAATATTGTCCTATGGAAAGTGACCTAGTCCACACCTTGAAAGAGAACCAAGATGAAGGCTTTCTTATGAATAAAAATTATTGGTTGTTGACTGCTCAGGAATTGTAGTTACCGTGATGACCTAGAAAGTGGAAGGTTTGTTGATCATTATGGAGATTTAGATGTTAGATTTTAAGTGTGAGAAACAAATCTTGGAAATGTGAAATATACAAGCTACTGGGTAATAAATACACTCTTGAAATTGTATGATGATGCGAAACACATGGCCTATATACACCTCATCTGTTACATGATCACTGTTGTGGCTGAACATCATTCATGTTGAATTGGAATTTTAAGTGTTTTGCTCAACAAAAGAATGACTGTGAAGCTGAATAAAAATTCAGAAACGGTTGGAGCTAATAAACGAGACCGGTGTCATAATCTTTTCATGGCAACTGTGAATCTGTGGTGATCATTCAGCTTTAACCTTTTTTTGTTTATGCATACATACAACTGTAAACTGTAAACGCATGTGGTTCACCCTTTTTTTTGTTTATGTTTACATACATGATGCCAGGTGCGAAGGGAAGAGCGCATCAAGTGGGGTCATGCCCCCTTAAACGTTTGTACATACTTTTTGTTAAAAATTTTTGTTTACAATGGAACTAATGGGTGTCATTTTTGTTGTGTAGATGGCTTTTGGCATTGACATGTGGATCTTCTATTTTTTGTCCGGAAGATAATTCACAATTTTGCAAAGTTGGGAAGTTTTAGGTCGTCCTCAGCTTTTTGTGTGGAAATTGGATGAATCGTACATATAATTTTAGCACGCGTTACATAGTATTTTTGGAAGTTGTATTAATTGCTATGGTGGTATATGTAGATTACCTTTTGTCGTGGTACATATTACCATGGTAATTTGTACCATGCCAAATGGTCATTACAATGCATAGTGTAGTAACAATGTTTTGTGTATAGAGGACATTGTTTTGGTAACATAGTTGGAATGTATGACATTATTTGTAATTGGAATATATTAGTTGGTTTGTATGTAAGTTTACATTGTAAAGTGTTCTTTTTTGTTTGATGGTTGTAAGTGAAACATGCATTACGGAATAGGTGATAATATATATATTGATTTGTTTGTATACCTATTACAGGTTGCGGTAGATATATACAGGTTTTGAAAAAAATTATTAAAATGAAAAAAATAAAACAAAATAAAAAATGACATTTTTGGTGACAAAAAAATTGGTAGCCAAAAAACAGAAATAAATCTTTTGGCAACTAAATATTTAGTAGCCAAAACGAATTGAAAATAGTTTTGGCGACTAATTGTTTAGTAGTTAAAACCAAAAACACTTTTGGCGACTAAACTGTATAGTAGCTAAAACTAGAATAACCTTTCCGTGACAAAATGTTTAGTAGCTAAAAATGACAGTATTGGCGACTACTAAATTGGTCGCCATTTATAATTAAATTTTTAGCGACAAAAGATTAGTAGCTGAAGATGTATTGATGTTCCCTTTGGGCGACTAACATCTTAGTCGCCAATGCTTCATCATCAGCAACAAGCAGTGGTTTAGTCGCTAATTGCTGCCTTTTTTTGCCTACTAACAGATTAGTTGCCATTCTGTTGAATTTTTAGCTTTTAGTCGGCAATACCTTCGCCGACGATGTATCCGCGACAAAGCTGGCGACGAAAATTTTTGGTCGGCAAATCATTTCGGCGACTAAAATTAATGCTCACTACGTCAAAATTGGGCTTTAGCGGCAGTTTTTTACCGCCGTTAAAGGCTGTAAACCCGCCGTTAAAGCCTTTAACGGCGGTATTAACGGCGGTTTTGTTACCGCCGTTTATGCGCGTGTCGAAAAAAATACAACCGTCGTAAAAAGGTAAATTACCGTCGTTAAAAGTCGACCAAAAACGGCGGTAACATAGGACCAAAAACAGCGATTTTTTACCGTCGTAAATAGGTTCAAATTTTTCAAAAAATAATTCTTTCTTCTTGCACTCCCCAAGTCTTGAACCCTCAACCTCTCATCCACCCACACTAACCACTCTACCATAGCCACTCTTCATGAAATATATTCCCTAAATAAATATTTAAACATTACTTTTACTTTATTGTAGATGGTTTCGCCGGAGCTCGCCGGAGTTTCGTCGGAGCACGCCGGAGTTTCACCGGCAAAGACCGCCGTGATTAACGGCGGTAATGATTGGGCATTAGCGGCGGTTTTGTTACCGCCGTTAAAAGTGGACATTAACGGCGGTTTTTTTAACAGTGGTAACAAAACCGCCGTTAATGATACCTTTAACGACGGTTTTCGTTGCCGCCGTTAATAGTACCTTTAACGACGGTTTTCGTTACCGCAGTTAAAAAAACTGCCATTAATGCCCTGTTTTGGCGTAGTGGCTTTTGGCGACTAAAACATTAGTCGTCAAAAGTGTATTTTTTTGTAGTGTCCTGGAGCACAGTCACTTGGTGCCTCAAGTGTGTTCTGATTGGTGGAGAGGGTGGAAACATGATTTTGTGTTGGGTGATTGAGAAATATGAAAGGATATGAGAGTTTGTAATTAGCCAAGGGTATAGCCACGTGGTGTTCTTGAAAAAACCAATTTTTTGTAATTTAGAGATAGTAAATTATAACGTTTAAGTTTTTTGTTTAAGTTTACAAAAATTTTATAAACTATTTTTTGTTTATTTTTAGAAAATATAAACTACAAACGCACTTGGTTTAAACAAAATGTTTAAAAAAATTTAAAAACATAAACTAAAAAATATATTTGTTCAAGCCTAAAATATTTATATTTATTTTTTATTATTTATGACAATGGAATCATACACATTATAATTGGAAAAAAAAATTAATTAAAAAAATTAATTGAAAAAAAAAATTGGTAGTCAAAATTTTAAATTTCTATTTAAAAACCATCGTAAACTTATTTTTTGAATTTACATTTTTTCTTCAAATTTATAAACTGAGACAACTATTTATACACCAAATAAATTATCAAACAAATTTTTATGATAATTTTAAAAATTTTGTAAACTGAAAATTGAAAACGAAATGATTACCAAACAGATCCGTAATAATGTTGATCATGATATATGAAAATTATGTACAATTTCTTGGTCAGTAAGGAAATGTCAAACTAACTTGAGTAAAGATTCTCTGCTTGGATCCTCTCTTTGGTGGGCTATTGGACTCATTTTTGATCTAATTTCGATGATTCGAACCGTTCACATTTTAGAATTTGTCATGTATATCATATCTGTAAAAAATTAAATTGATTGGATATTAGAAGAACTAAAAATCGTTTATTAAAAAAAAATTTAATAAATAGTTTTATTGTTTAATAAAACTTTTAGTTCACGTAGTTTTCAATATCTCATTGACTTAATTTTTTATAGGTATAATATACATGACAAATTTTAAAATGTAAATGGTTCAAATCATTAAAATTAGATCTGAAAGTGGGCTTAATAACTCACCAAATAAGAAGTCAAGGTGAGGATCCTTGCTCAACTAACTTAGCCCACGCCTAATTAATGTCAATGGATCGAAATTTCAAGGAAGGGTCACAAAATTTACCATCAGGCTGCCTAATCAGGGCCCATGGACCAATCTTGGCCCAGTCCATGGGCAATTCTCTGTGTTCCTAAACATTGCTCTTGAAGGGTTTCCTTCAAACCATACCAAAGGGAGAAACAGAAGGATTCCCGTGGGCATGATATAAATATAGAATACAGAATAAGTGCACAAAAAATGAGTGTGACGTGGGTTATTCTTAAAATAAATCTCATTCACATACTATACTTTTTTTGTGTTTTATTTCTATGATATAGAATTTAGCCTCTGATTGTATTTTTCAATAGTATGGGACTAATTATATGTTTTTTATAAACCTCTGGAAGTATTTTTGAAGGCTCTAATTGTATTTTTCAAAAGTTTTGAAATTGGACTGATATAGTCATATTGGGGCCATAAGTCCAATTTTAAAAAATTTGGTGCAATAGCTTCAAATTTTTTTTTTTTTTTTTGGGTCTAAAAGAATAAAATAATATGAAAAGATTATAGCTGTGTTTGGTGAAACTTTGTAATCATAATTCTATCCCTCCATTTGGATGAAGTTTTGAAAATGTGATTCCACCACACATTTCACAACATATTTCTCTTTTACGTTTGGCATATCTCTCTCTTTCGTCTTCTCAATTCTAAAAAATATAGGAATTTTTGAATTTTGTGTCTACCCGATCATATTCCCAAACGTCTCCCGGATGTCTGGCCGGTTGACCAGAATAGTGTAAATTTTTTTTTTTCAATTGCCAATCGCCACCTGTTATTTGGAGGAAAAAAATTATATTTGTTTTTGATATTTTTTAAATATAGAATTTATTTTTTTTAGACTAAAATGACAAATTACTTTTTTGAATTGAATGTTAAAAAGAGTTTGGTTGTTAGTTTTGAATAGAGTTTGAAATAGAATTTTGAGTTGTGCGTTTGATTATGAGTTATAACTTTTTAAATTAAGTTCTAAAAACTCTTTTCAAAACTCATAATCAAACAAATTTTCTTAATTCATGTGTCACATCAAAAATTCAAAACTTAATTCAAAAATCTTTTCAAAACTCATAACCAAACAAATTTTTTCTTTTCAAATTATAATTCTAAAACTCACGAACTCAAAATACAACTTTATTCTCAAATCATAATTTTAAAACTCTACCAAACGCAACATATATTACTTGTACTCATTTGTCTATTTATCTACTATCTACATTACGTATCTCTCAAGTGTTATCTATTTATTCATATGTCATCCCTTGTATTTGAAAAATGCTTGGGACCTCTAATTAGAGGTACCACTAGTGATGTGGTAGTGGGTCCCACCCACTGCCACATCAGTGCTGTGTCTTTGTTTTTATTTTTATTTTTTTTTTTGTCTTTTCCACCTCATTAGAGGTATGTTTAGAGCCTCTAAATTAGAGGTCTCTAACATTGTTGCTTATATTTATCCACTCATCACCCATCTATTTATTTAATTTGTCTATTTGTGTGAAAAAAAGGTGACCGCACGACATCAAATTGACAAAATTCTTGCTTGTAATGGAACTACAACGCCAAATATCCCTTTCTTTTTCTTCTTTCTCTTGTTTTCATTTTTATTTTTTTTAATTTTAAATTTTTTGCATACAAAGTTACAAACATGTTCAAATCAATTAAATTATAAACAAGAATGAGCAAATAATGCAGCTCTTTTAATCAAAACGAGAATAGTAATTATTTATATGGCTGTCTCTTATGTTGGTTTTATCCATAGGGATCCTTTGTTATTGTCCATTAGCGGTTGGACCGGTGTTTTATAAGGGTTTTCTTTTCTTCTTATGACTTCTCTCAAATTGAAATATTAATTGGATCATGTAAAACTTGACATGAGTTTTTTTTTTTTGATAATTCAAACTATTTATTTTATGAGATCTTTTGTATATATTATTTATAAAAAAAATAAAAAATTAGATCGATCCGATAATTATAGCCTCCTCATTTTATGACGTTTGTCTCTGAAAAAATAAATGACAAATGTGTTTTTGAAAATCGATCATCATTTTTTTTGGTAAAATGAAAATGTTTCAATTTTTCAATTGATTTAATTTTTTTCATAT